AAAAAAAAAAAAAAAAAAAAGAAAGAGTCGCAATCTTCCGTTGCAGGGTGGACGTGGAAAAGGAAGAGTTAAGATTTGGCGATGCAGGGGATGAAAAGGAAAACTGCGAAGCTGGACTCTGGGCGTTTAGCGTTTGGAACGTGTAAATCTGTAGTGAATCCCAGAGAAACACAGCCTGGAAATAATGTAATCCGGCGCTCAGTCTTGGCTTGCCCAGCGGGTGGTCAACCCTTTCGGCTTTTTTACGCATCTCTGCCCATAATCCTTTAAAACGCTTAGAGCTCTTTAGGGCAATTTCCTTGGCGCAAAAATGATCCCCTGCTAGGGCTGCATTTACCGTCCCTTAGAGGCAGAGTGGGAAATGCAAAGTAACCTCTAGCCGTAAATGTGCTCCCGGGCCGCACTCGCCTCTTCTGGTGCTTCTGGTGCTTCTGGTTACTCCTTTTACCTTGCGCACGCACACGCACACGCACACGCACGACCCATCTCCCTACGGGAGAGAATTCTTACCTCGAAGCTTATGTAAAACAACTGATCGTGAAGACTCACAATCGAGTCGTCTCTTCCTTTGGTTTCTCGATTCCATCGGGTTTAGCGTCCCGGCTGATTCGGCAGGGTTGCGAGTCTCACAGAGCAGCGCAACCCTTTTTCCTTCTGCATCCGGGCACTCGATTACTTGGCCCGTGGGCCCAGGAAAAATTAAAATAATGGGACCTATGGCCGGTGCTGGTGGTGCTGGCGGTGCTGGTGGTGCTGGTACCCCTTTCCCCTTGGCTTTGGAACGTCGTCACGAGAAACGGTGCTGCGACCCTCTCGCTTGTTTTTTCATTCTCCCCCTCTCGCTCTCCCGACCAACTTTTTTTCCTCTCTCCTGGGCGCCCACTTTTTTTTTGTCTCTACCCGATGCAAATCGTGCAACGGCATTTGTCTCACCGGCAAAAAACCTGTCATTGTCTAGCGCGAAATTGTAAGGCCCTGACCCTATGTCGCAGTAACGCACCGTGGCCTTAACTACGCAACGTGTTGCGTTTCACAGTGAACCTCGAGACTTTCGATACCCCCGTAGCGTAATAGCTAACAATCCGCGACAACGAATGGCTAATGAATTTGATCCCGAGGGTAGTTTGCTCCAACGTTCGCCGTGCGAGCGAGTCGGCACGAGGGAGCCAAAAATAAAAAAAGTGAAAACAACGAAGGAACGGAGTTTTCCTGGCGCGCACGTATGCATAAGGTATGCTCATAAAAATAGTCAAAGGGGTCCACGACTGTAGACGAGGAGGTAGGGAGGGGGAGGAGGAGCAGAGAATAGGTGAGAAAAAAAAGGGAAAAAAAAAAAGAGGAACAATTCGATTCTCCTTTGGATTTGTTTAATAGCGAAACAGTCGCGTCATGGTCTTTTCATTTATTTTACATTGGTTTTTTCATGAGGAAAATTTGTCCTGGCCCTTTTGGGTCACCCGGCTTCGATGCTCTGTGGTTTTTTTTTCTTGCTGTTTTTTTCTTCTCACGTCCCGTATCTCGTCCGCATCTTGCAAAATACTTGGAAGTTCCGTCAGAGTTCCCGAATCAATGAGTAGGCCCTTTCTCGGGTGAGGCTTCCGAATCGTAAGGCCCCAGAGCTGCCTCGGCGTCGGGTCCCAGATGGAGGAGCCCCCGCGGCGTTATTTTCCCGTCGACACCTCGTCCATTGTTTCGAAGAGCACCGACGGCAGCGCGGCGACGTTGTTCTTCGCCGAGATCGTGTCACAACATTTGGGCCCAGTCAGAATTATGGGCACCTTTTTCCCGCATTTCGAACGGACCCC